TGGTAATGCACCTTCTGCCTGTCACTATAGCAACCCCCTGGAAAATTACCTCAGCAGCCACTAAAATTCATTTTCACAAAAACTAATTTCAGGTATAATTAATTTCTGAAACTTGGTCTGTATTATAAATTTACTCAGAACCACGTATTTTCCTATTTGCTTTCCTTTGTCTAACGCCTAACCGAGTAGGTACTGTTTGGGTGAGAGGCGATATAGCTACAGTGTGATTCATCAATGTAAGATTTCTTAGCAGGTGGTAAAAATCAGCTCAGAGTACCATGTAGCTGAGACCTAAATATATTACATGGTTTCTACTGTTAGTTCAGCTGAATTCCCCATGGTAACACTGGTGGTTACTCACTGTTGGACTAGCCCTCAGGATGGCGTATTTGCAATACCCATATTGTTCTTATGGCTTTATATTTTGAAGCTAATAAAGTGAGGTAATCTGGTTTTGGGCAATTGCTGGCAACTCTCTCTTTGTGGAAGTTTGTGGATATGTCAAGTCTTGCGGTTTGTTTGCAAGAGCGTGTAGCAATTTCTAGTATACACTGAAGAATTAGTTGCATTGAAGGCTGATTACAGTATTTGTTCATTCATTTCGAGTTAGGCACTTACCCTAAAATATGCTGCACATATCTATTTGTGTGCTTAAACTTTTTGTTTGTGCATAGGATTTGTTTGCCCAGGTGAGCAGTGTAGTTGTCAGTACTTCAGGGGCGGCATTAGGTAAGTGCTTTAAAGCCACAGTGAATCAGCTTTTATTAATAAGCAGATATACAAAAGAGCCAGTCTGAATCTTCATTTTCTTTGACTCCTCACCCATCTGCATTCAAAAACCTGACACATTTCTCATAGCCTTGGCTTCAAAAGTATTCTTCTCCTGGCTTATAAGACAGTGGAGGAAGTAACTCCACCCTGCTTTCCTGCTGGTGTTTATGGACTTCCCACATCCCAGGCCATATCCATCAAATAACTTACCTTCATTTGAACAATTTCAGTATTCCAAATAATTTTGACAGAAATGTGTTATCAAGCTGCTGTACAAGTGAAAGAGGTGGCAGCTGGGGATGGGCTGAGTTACAGCTAGGGTGGGGCTGGAGCAACACAGTTGAAGGAAGGAAAGAGTTGTCATCAGCTAGCAGTTTTGATGTTTTAATTTTAAGTTGTTACTTGATAAAGTAATATAAAAATAAATAAATTTTTAGTTTAATAATTTGTAGGGTGCTTAAAGGCTATGCATGCAGTGCTGCATTTCCCTCATGGTCAGAGAATTTCTTTAAGCCTCAACTTTCATGTGGAGGGGAAAGGTTAGATAGCCAACGCTTCTGGCATGAGGAAGGTTTAAAAATGTAAGTCTTTCTTGTGACAGCGACTTCTAAACTATGATAAGCCAAATAACCAATTTTCAATGTTACGGGAACAGTTAAAATAGTTGTATGTGAAAAATGTGTGTAGTGGTAATATCTTTAAATATTTATGGAATTCCAGTTGTCTTTTCTTTTTATGTAGTCATCTGTAACAACTTATGTATTCCCTCTCAGCGTTTTGAAATAGTGAGTCAACCCAACAAACCACTTGTTCAGAATAATCAGACTGTCACCCCACCCCTTTTAATGCAATTCAAAAACCCATTTTTGTGCTTTGTGAGGAGAAAATGTCTTGGATTTTAGCTGTGTACTTCTATGGGTTTTGAAGTGTAGCATTTTGCACTTAATACAAAAGTTGTGATAATATGTTGAACCTTAGGTGTGTTGATTTGCTACCACCGACATTTTAGGAAGATTGCACCTGGCTGAATAGAGAAATTAACTTCTGCAATATATAAAAAATCTTCGTAACATAAAACAGTGGGTAAAATGGAAAAACCATTTTGTCAGTCCCTATAATAGATTTTTTAGAATTAGTTACTTTATTTTAGAAATTACATAATTTTTAAGAGGGACTTAAAAACAGTGATTTTAGGTTGTCATGAAGGGAGCTTTGTGTTGCTGCTGCAGGCAAAGCTTTCAGTCTGATTTTTAGAAACATGTTTAATCCCCTTGAAGTTGATAGCAGAACATGAACTTATATATCCTCATAGGGTGTATATTACACATAGGAAGTGTAATTGTGTGCAGAACTGTCAGTAGCAGGAAATACCTACTCCTTTGCTTCAGAACAACAATGCAGAACTTCATTAAAATCTGAATTCCAGCACAAGTAATTTTTCAGCAGAAGTATCTCTGTTAAAATAAAATTTAAAAACAACACACACAAAAGAAAGAAATGCCACAAAACAAAACTTAAAATAATTTTTTCTCCTTAAAAAGAATTTCCTTGACTATTTGCTGTATGCTCACAGTATTAAAATAGCAATAATAAAAGATTCAGAAGTAATTTGTGAAGTAATTCAGAAATATTTGTGTAATTTAGAAGTAATTTGGAATATTTTCATTTAAATAAATTGATAAAATAATGTGTTTATTAACAAATTTTATATTGTTTATTAAGTTTTAAGAAAAAGTGGTAGGGGCTAAATATCATTATCAGAAAACAAAAACATGCAGGATGTTTTCCAAATTGCTTTTGTTGGGCTGTAGATTCTGATTCTGATTGCCGCAAAGATTTTATTCTGATTGCCACAAAGATTTTATTTTTAAAGGATTTAGTGCATGCTTCTGATTTTTTTTTCTATGAGATACTTGTGCTGGTTTTAACACTACTTCCTTGATTCTGGGTTTGAATGCATAATTCAGGACAGTTCTTAGACAACCCAACATCCTTTGATTTGTTAAGAAATCCAGGAAAAAAAAACAGGATTCCATAAGGATGCGAAAGGACTCCTCTGTGAAGTGTATAGACTGTGTAAGGTGCTTTGAGTGAAATGAATGAAAAGATAGTGTCACCTGAGTTTATTTATTGAATGAGCAGAACCAGAGCATAATTGAATGGGAACAAGGAAAAAGTAAGTATTTTTAAGGATAAAGTAATGCTTCTGAAACTTAGTGATGTCAGTGATTTGTGTTAGGACAAAACAAAACAAAACACTTCATTTGCTTGTTTAATGGTTTCTAGAAACAGAAATGAGATTTAGCAATTTAATAGTATCCCTTTGCTTTATCACCTTTCTAAAATCAGCCAGATATGCATTACCAGATACCTTCGTAACATGTCAGCTGTGCAGAAGTGTAGTAATCAGGCTCAACTTGGAAACTAGAGCTGAAGCTTGTCAAAGGAATGCAATGAGACAATTGTGAAAATAGGCCTCCACCTGCCAGTTTATTCAGTTAAAATTCTCCTGCTTTTGTGAATACTACTGTAGCAATGCTTCTTTATCTGCTTCAGAAATTTAGTCACAAAATAAAACTATATAATATATAAGAATATAAATAATAGTATAAATATATATATATTATATATATATATATATATATATAAAAGAATATAAATAAGAAGCTAGTTCAGGGTCTCCATCAATTTCTTACTGTTGTGGTTATGGATCTCATTCACTTTTACTTTTTTTTTTCTTTTCCACCAACAAACTGATGATGGGCTTGTTCATGCTGCTTTTTATGTAAAAAAAGTTGAGGGCAGATCATGGGCTCATACTCTCAAACCTTTTTCTTATTGCTGAAAACTAATCAGTTCTCAGAAAACATTTTCATAGTAGTAGCTTCTGATTTACCTGAGATACAGTGTTTAATACATCTTTCTCATATTAGGTGCTTACTATCAGATTGATATTTCATGAATAAAATCATAGTGAGGGAAATTTGATAGTAAAATTTGGTAACTGAGCCGGTAATAATTTGGCTCCTTTCCAGAGCTAACTTAGTAATTCATCTGTATTTTTACTGTAAGGTAGAAATCAAACTTTTATTTTTGTCATTGTTCAGGATAATGTCTTCTCACTATTTCATTAAGAAGTAATTCATAACATCAAGAATAAGACTGATTATTTCTTTTCTGGGTTTATTTTAAACAGCTTTACAAATTAGTATGGGAAGAACATGTTCAGAGCTTGGTGACACTTCATCATCGTTTAATATATTACAAGACCATTGCTCTCATCCCCTAGAGTGAATGAGGGTATTCCTAGATTAATTTATCTTCTCAACAGCTAACTCTCGGTCATTCTTCTGCTGTGAGCTAGCCAAATGCCAAAGAACCTAATTTCCTGCAGCAGTCTTTTTTCCAGATGTCTACCATGGGGAGAGCATAAGGTGCATTGTGCACTGACTTCTTGAGATGTCCAGCTCCTGGACCCAAACAGGCTATCACACACATATTGCTACACTTCTTTTTTGAGGGATGTCTTTAATGACAGTTAATTAAAACTTCAGTGCTTTATAGCCAGCTGTAGTGTATTTTATGTACTGCAGGCCTATTAACCTAATCAGAAGTTTCAGTGTGAATGCAGAACTTCGGGGGCAGAGATCCCACAAAATGCTGGTGCTGCCTTCTGATAATAGGATTTGATAATAGGAGAATTTTTTAATTTGACAGTGCATTTTAACTTAGTCTCAAAACAGTGGCATTTATCCTCCTGCCATTTTATAACTGGTAATGAAGTATTCTGTAGCAGTTCATTGCTCTTTGGAAGGTTCATGTTTGTTTATCCAGGTGTGTGTAGACACTGCAGCATGAATATCAAAAAATATGTTACATATTCTAGTAAGACCATGCAATTTTATATTTCTCACATGTTGTATAATACTATGTCTCTAAATTTCCTAGAATTATGCGATTAAAAACTGTGGCGAATTTACATGTGAAAGCCAAGTTGCATAAAAAAAACCCCTGATAATTATGCTACCCTGCTGTTGAAGCTATGTAAGTGGGGATGGAGTACATTTTTTGTAGTTTGTCCCCTCTTTTCTGCCGATAATGTTCTTTTTTTCTGTTGTACTTCTTTCTACCCCACAGCCTATTTCCGTTCCCAGATTTTCCTTTCTCTTTTCCTCAGTGGGATGATGGTGTCACTGTCTAGCATTCCTGTTGTTTCTCCCTGTCTATAGCTATCTTAATGACTTGGACCGCATAGCAGATTCCACCTATCTGCCAACTCAGCAGGATGTGCTCAGAGTTCGAGTCCCAACAACAGGGATCATTGAATATCCATTCGACTTACAAAGCGTCATTTTCAGGTAGAAAAAAAAGTTTTAACACCCATTTGCTTGTTTCTTTTGTTTCCTTTTATGTTAGTAATGGCAAGTATAGGACATTGCTTAGAAGTGCATAAAAAGCAATAATTCTGTATTTTTAAAATTTGAATTAGGTCAGTTTATTTTCGTGTAATTGTCCACATTTAATAAGGAACTGACATTAAACATGTCAGAAGGATCAAAGACAATTGGGTCTATTATTTTTGAAGGTATTACTAATAGAAAACCTATAGTTCGTATTTTCCATAAAATGTGTCAAAGTAATGAGTAGTAATCTGAAAGTAAAATCATGTGTCTTTGTCATTCATGTAAATTATGGAATAAAAAGTTATCACATGTGTAGATGACTTCTAGAGTGAAATTACTCTTCTTTAAAGAGAAATCACCCTACCTTAGTGCAAGTACAGTTGTTTAAAAAATAATTGCAAGTTAGACACCTGTGCTTTCACTGAGACATGGGATGAAGTGGGAATATACTGCCGCAAACATGAGTTTTAATTTTGCTATCAAAAATTTTAGTAGGTACATATTGTATTCTATTTACTTAAAAGGGGACGGCTTTAACAAATTGAGATTTTGATTCTGGTAATGTGGGCAGAAAAAGGCAGTCCACTGAGTCTGTTCTATTGACATCTGTTTCTGCTGAATACACAGGGCATACATTGCCAAGTCGTAGCTCACGAGACCTTCATATCTCATAATTCTGAGGGGTTTGAGTCCCACATTAATTTAAATACAAAAACCAAATCAGACTTAAAGCAAATATGATGAACTATCTACTTACAACAGATTCTATTAAATATCAATGGGAAAAATAATTAGGAAAACCAAACCAAACTGTGGTTTTAACTAAATTCTTGAATGTTGTCATTATGTGTGTGATTGTGTGTTTATCTGTTAAGGTACTCATGGAGTTGATGTGGATGTTAATTTTACAGAATGGTGGATGTAGGAGGTCAGCGATCAGAAAGAAGAAAATGGATACATTGCTTTGAAAACGTCACGTCTATCATGTTCCTAGTAGCTCTTAGTGAATATGATCAAGTGCTTGTGGAGTCAGATAATGAGGTAAGCAATTATCAGCAAAAGCCACCAGTTTTAAAAAAAAAATACCTTCACTTGTCCAGTCCCAGGTGTTTTTTAAATGCGTCTATGAGCAGTCATGCACAACTTGTACTCAGTGGCGTGAGAAGCACTATAGGGATCAAAGGGAAGGAGGGGATCAATCTTCAAATATGGCAAAGCTGATCTACTCCATGGAGGATTCAAAGAACTCTTGTCGATTTTGTATTGAAGGGGAATGCAACTGAATATAGATAAATGTTTGTGCAGTTAGTGTTATGAGTGGAGGTACAATAATAAGTGGTGTAAATGAAGATGACATTTAGAGATTCCTTGCTGGAACAGACCCTGAGGTAGTAAATGTCATTCCTTTGACTTAAACGGTAAGAAATATATTGTATTTTTATTTCAGAAGATAAGAGAATTAAGCAAGTGGGTGAGCTGAGGGGGCAAAGCACATTAGTATTCATTATTTTGCAGGCAGTTTTACAGAGTAAGGAGGTTTTTCAATGTTCAGATGATGTTTTGTCTTTCCTGAGGGCTATTTTAAGTTCCTCTTCAAACATTGATGAATTTTATTCACTGGCACTGTCCTATGCAAGTCTTCTAGCACATACTTAAAAAAGTTAGGTGGAAGAAAGAAAACATTTGAAAATATCTTCTTCATGGCTGCATACATGTTGATTACAATGTCTAAGAGAATGGTTGACGTAACAAAGTAAAACAGATGTCCCTCAACATTCATGTTTGTGTGTTGAACTTTCTTCAGGATTCATTCTTTTAAAAAGCCTGGGAGCTCTGAAAGCTTTTACATTTGTAGTCTTTTCTGGGAAGAAAAGTATTGTTATGTTAATTATATAATTAACTGTATCATTCAAAACTGAATTTAGAAAAATGATGATGTAGTCTGCACCGAGTTCATCTCTTGTAATTTTGGCAGCTAGTCACATGGAGATAAAGAGATCTCAGTCAGACTTGGCTCATCTCAAGCCCAACTAGAAATGTCTGGTTCTGTCTTTTTCTATTTGCATTATTCTTCTGTAGCCACAAAGTCAACACACAAGTATTAAGCATTTTAATTATACAAGGCAAAGCAAAATATATTAGAAATCACATAAAGAAAAGTTAGTTATAATAATTTTCGAATGCTATTTTAACTATCCAAAATAAGCTTTCAAACTTTTGGATTGTAGCAGTTTATCACTGTGTTTTCATATAGTCTCCCTCATAGGAAGAATTTCTCAAAGGAGCTGTGTTGTAGGGAGAGATTTACCAGACTCTGGTTCCTTATTAGCTATATTCTCTTCTACACAGGTGGCTTTCTCAGCACTTTCTCTCATTTGTCAGATAACTTCAGTGTGTAGATCATGACTTAGAGCATCTCCACTGTAGAAGACAGAGCATTATCTTCCTAGGCTGAATCATTTGGCATATACATGCTTTGTGTTCTCATAAGCTAAAAGGGTTCAGGTGTTGTGATCTGGATAGAACATCTGACTGAAGATTGTGCTTTGGGCTCTTCAATGACTGAAGTGATGCCTAAAACTGTGGTAGTTTTTCTGTAACTACTTTTCAACTATTATGAAAAAAATTACTTTACTCATAAAACTGGTTTAATTTTTCAGATTTTTCTCTTTCAAAATACTTTATGGAGGTCAAAACTTTCTTGCAGATGGTTCTTTCACCTCGCTGCTAAACTATTTGAGTTTCTTATTAAGAACAGCGGAAAACTTCGGAACCTTTTTAGTTCAAAATATATTCATTACTTTAATCATGACCAGTTTTTGTTTTCAAGTCATACACGCGTAGTCTAGTAGGTTTTCCATCACCCTTAGGTCCATGTTACTCTAGCTCTGGGAATGATCCAGACAGTCTCAGAAATAAGCACCAGTCTGAACAGCTTAAGTTTTGGCTTTCAACAAACTGTAACCTGTCTATCTAGATTTTGTTGGTATGCCAGGGCACTGCTTTCTTCCTTTCCTTTTCTCTTCCTTTATTTCTAACCATTGCAGGGGCAGAATAAATGGAAAAATGGGTTTATTTACTCTGCATAAAGCAAAGCATGGTTTGTCTGAATGTGAGTGTGGTAGAAATATGGGAAAAGGTCTTAAAGGTGTTGGCACCTTGAATTAAGAAATTTTTCCCAGAAAAATGTTTTTGTGCTTCACTACAGAGTGACAACCTCATAAGGGAAGACAGTGACTTAACTTGGAGACTTTGGTGACCAGCCAAGAGATACTTTCAGCACACTTTCAGCACAAGCTTCAAATTGTGAAGCAGTATTGAAATTCTAGCACAAAAGTGAGGGAGTGTGTGTAAATGCCCTACTTTCTTCATATGTCATCATTTTGATACTAGGGTAGAATTTAATCCTTCTTTGATCTGTGTGCCTCGTACTGAAATTAAAATATCTGACTTGACAATTTACAGTGTTCTGTTACTTCCTTATTTCCTTTGCATTTCTTTCATGACCTGATTAAGCTATGATTTTTGTAAGATGGCCTACTTTCTTTTTCTAATTAGTTCACTGCATGTTATTGCCCGAAGTCTCTTCCCTTGTAATATGTTTTTACAAAGAAAACTGTAACTTTTAATAATTTGTGGCGTTCTTTTTAGTTAGTACAGTTTTTCATTACGCTCATTTTATTACTAAATACAAATCTGTAGCAATTATTATTTGCCATTTGGTGCATATGTAATTTTATGACCCTTCATCATTATGGAATCGGTTTAGAGCCCTGAAGATTCTTCATTTGTATTTCAAAATGTAGTGCCTGGTGGAGGCTTAGTTGTAAGTCTATTTCTTCCCTTGTTTATCTTATTCAAGAGAAATACATTTGGAATATAAATCAGATGAGCTTCTGCTGTGTTGAGAGGATTTGTGCATGTCTCTCAAGGGCTTTTACTCATTGGATATGTGTGAGGTGGAGCTGGGAACTGTCTCTGACTTTGTGTCTTTGGAGGAGTTAAGAATTAGAAGTTCTGAGGAATATATTATAACTACTGTGTAAGGGGACATCATATGTTGAAAGTAAGACAAGTGTTCAAATTGCCCGTCATTCAGAGACCTGTGTAGGATGACTTCTAAATGGCACATTCATGAAATTGAACTCCCAAGACAAAGATCTGCAACTAAAGAGTTGGGAGTTTCAGTCCTGAAGAAAAGCACACATGACCTTCCGATTGTATTTTAACTGATTTCTCTAAAAGCTGATACTCAGAAACAATGGCATCTCTCTTAAGGATGTGTCTAGATTGTACATAACTTTATTTTGGTGCATAAGTCCAAAATGGGAAGAATCAATAAGGGTGGTATATTTAAACATATCCTGCAAAATTTCAGCTGATGTACAGTCATGAAGTGCTGCTTTCTTCTAACATACAAATAGAAGCAGAGATTGCTAGCTATTCTGCATTCTGCCCTTAAAAAATAGAAAGTCTTTCTAGGTTCATTGGTAAAAATGAGGACAAAATTTGAGCCAGAGGATATAATACACTAATTACATTAATAGTACTGTAAATTATATTACATCAGTGTGATGTGATGTGACAAAGGAGAACGTGTTATAAATTAAATTATCAGTTATTTCATCTTTTCAGTTTTTCAGAAAACTCCAGTGGAATTAAAGGTGAAATAAAAAATTAAGGGATTATCTGTCTGGTACATAGATTTATGATATATTATGTCCTGTAGGTCATGCTTTGGTGCTAAATTATGACAGCAGACCTGGAGAAATTTATGCTTTTATTAAAAATCGCAGTTTAGAACTTTTCCCATGTTGAAAATTGACTTATTTGCTTAAATAAAGGGTTCATTCTAGATTAAGTATATTAATAGATATTACAGGACATGTTGCATTTATATATGTATCATGGGTAGGTCCTCTCAACATATAAAATCTCAGGGTCTCAGTGCAATAAATGCAAAAATGATTTCCAGCTTTGCAAGAGAACCAGTAACCACTTGTAATTATGGAAGAACTGGAGACATAATAGTATAGCTTCTTTCTTTCAGAAAGAAGAAACTCTTTGCACAAATTAAATACTTGAAAATAGCAAAGTATTTATTGAAACTTGAGCATATTTTTCTTCCACATTAGCACACTGAAAATCTTAAAGTATATAACATTTCAGATAACTCTTTGGTGATTATGTAGGCATGTGTTTTTTTCATTACTGTTCTCAGAGCAAAACCAGGGAAGACAGGATACAATTTCCTCAGTTCAACTAAATGAATGGATTAATAGGCCAAGTGAAAATTAGAATTTTCCAAACTGTCACAAAGCAAATACGGTCTTTCCTATTGTCAGAGGTTGCAAAGCAACAGAGGCATTAGACAGCATGAAGTATGCATTGCTGGAAGATAATTTGTAGACGTAAATCAGTATGAGTATTCTGAATATCCATTACACAGAATATATTGGGGGAAAATGCCAGTTTGAATTATTCTGATCAGAGCCAATACATTTGGTTTAAAAAAAAAAAAAAAAAGAAAAATAGGAAGTTCTAACGGAATTGGAGGTAAATTATGAGCCTCCTTGGTAAGAGGAGGTTGTTGTTGAGTTTTGCACTTTTTAAATAACAGCTTATGTTTTAAAGCCTTTTTAAAGCTTGTACTACATCTTCATAAATTAAATTTGATTTAGCTGCAATCAAAATTGTTAGTTTTAATATAATAATATGTAGTAGAATTTCTCTTAAAACAGTATTTCCTTCCGTTGTCTTTAATCATCAGAGCTGTCATCCAATTCGCAATAAAGTTTTATAGAAAGTACCACCTCCTTATAATTAATGTATTTATTTATAGGTTTGATCCCAGATTGTAGTTCTTGCTGAAAGGGTTTGTAGTGTATGAAGCAAGCAGGAATAGCTTAAGAATTCTGAGTTTTTAAAGTAATAGAAAAATTGATTCCTTGGCTTACGAAATCCTAGTCACATGATCTTAAAAGGACTTTTTCAACCTAAACGATTCTATGATTCTCTCCCTTTGAGCTGTGTCTCATAGT